CCTTGTGGGATCCTGTATGCGCGTTTCCGAGACGCAGCATACATCGATGGCACGAGATTCTAAAGTCCTAGCTAATGAAGCCTGTTGCCCTATTTGACACAATGTCCGTACATTGAATGCTCCAACATTTAGTCTAGAGCGAGGTTTGAGGAGACCAGGAACGACGCTTCGCGAACTCGTATCGTCTGCATTAGCTGTGCACTGTGATGAATGAATGTGAGAAGAGTTAGTCGTGGAGATAAGAGAGGTACTAGGGGGTGTAGGAAGGATTTGGTTTTGACCAATTTGGTATCGCGTGCAGTTATGGGTATGAGGGCAGTTGTCACTTCCCGGCTGCCCACACCGCGGAAGGTTGTTTCTTGACGAACCTGAAAAAGAAAGATGGATTAGTGTTGCTGCGTGACCGCAGAGTCCAAGGGACAACTGCTTGAGGCCGGTCACGCACGGCCTTTTTATGAAACGTTGTTTGAGGATTAGCTCCGTTCTTAAAGGCCCTTAGTGGGCCCCCTAGCTCAAGGAGACGGAAATCCGTGAGTTAGGGGAGGTGTGACATTTTTAGGGCCGACCTTTTCTAACCCTTCCTTCCTTGTGAGAAGGCAGCATCGCTGCAGTTGCTGGTTGACCGAGGGAAACACCTTACTGCTGTCACACCCCTCTGCAGTCAGCAGTACGACTTCGCCCTCAGACCTGGGGTAGCTGCTTTTAGTCTCATCGTTCTCCAATCGACCTGTCTGGCATGGTAGAACCTTGAGGAACATATGTTCCAGCCAGTATAGCTCGGTTGGGTCATCACGATAGGCAAGCCTGACCACCACGTCAAGGTAGCAGCTACGGTCGGGAAAATTAGAAGTAAATTTGATAGTTATCTAATCAGGGCAAGACACAAAACCAATTGTTATTTTGGGATCTTCTTGAAAATTTCTACAAAACATTGATTGGCAGAAGGTTTCTCAACTTTCTCGCAGCTTATGGTGGCTTTTCTGAAGAATTCCCGTAGGGAACTCAGTATGAGGTATTAATTAACTCGTATGGTGCCACATAATCGGTTTGCTAATGAAACAAACCAATTCTAAATATTACTTTTCATGAATGGTTGTGGTGTGAGAACTAGTTTTTCACTAACAGCGTATATAACAGAGGTTATTCATTTGAATGCATAAAATAGTTTAAACATAACATTTTTATAGTGCTTTTAACTACAAAAGGGTTAGTAAAGAAATCCACATAACAAATTAAAATATCTAATACATTATCCACTCCAATGTATGTACATCTTGACCACATATGATTAAAACATGAAGATAAAAATGAGTGTTATAATTCTCTCTTATTAAAACCCAGCTATTCCACATGCTTAGTATTCTCGGACACCAGCTCACTCGAGACGTTCTCCAAAATCAGAACACGGTTGAACAGAAAATAGATTATATTCCAATAGCAAGGTTAGATGGAAGACAGAAGGTTTCAAAAGAAAAAGACGTTAGTATATTTATAGTTTCTCACATAGGAAGAGCCTAGAATGTTCCTCCCAGTATCGACTAGCGCTGAACGGATACGAAAGAGCCAATCAGCGTGCAACGACACAGTCATGCTTTAATCCAATCTATTTCCCGCTAACAGTAGGTGTCAAGAAACATTTTAGGTTTAAAACAAGACTGCAGGCTTACCAAAATAAGAAAGAAACTAATCTGAAGATAAGTAGTATGGGAGCTTGTTTGGATTCCTGAGATTGATAGTTCACATCACCAATTAATATTAGCTAGATAACATTGCAATCCGAAACAAATGGACAGCTGTGACATTCTAGTAACTGCTCAACAGTAATCACCCACAAACCACAGGGAATTGAACTCAGGATCTCCATTTCTATAGGCAAACATACAAAATTCAGACTTGAATCTGCATCCAGAGGAATGCACTCCCAACTATAATCTATCATTAGTACTATACAACTACTTTACAATATCATTGGTAGACAAATGTCACGCATTCCAGAAGGTTGAACTGCAGAGGTCACAGTTTCTCGTTAGAATTCATAAGATAAACCGTCAAAGTTAGTTACTATTTATGAAGAAAGACTCAATAGTCTGAAGGAAAAAGATTCTCATGGAATCTTAGGGTTCTGAATCTGACTTCAAGTTAAGTCGTGGATATCCACTTCTGAGGAATCTCGTACGATAACAAAACAGCTGTCCGGCGCTTTCGAGTTTCACTGTGATATCAGTCAGTCAGTCAGTTGCAACGTGGAACTTCGTACGTATGTACATAAGTTCATGTTGCCATACCACATTATTAGCACAGAGACGCAAATATCAAATCAAATCCCACAGTGATAAAGATAGTAGAGGTATTAATGTTAATAAAGAAGACTAGGGTTTAAGATATTATTCAAAATTCACTGTGATATAAAAACATGAACATAGTTTGCATCATAGATCAACTTTAACTTGATTACTATCGGGAACAAGGGAACAGCGGATGGCTGAAACGAAGAGCTACACACTTAATTGATCTTCAATAGTTGTTTAGCTTACGTCAGTCTATGATATAAAATACCATCAAACTGAACAACCTCCATATGCCTCCGATATTAACAATAAAGCAATATACTGGATGGAAAATTGGTAACTCATTGTTACCTGGTCTTCATAGTCTTTTTGAGAGCCTGAAGTTAATATAGATGTGTTGAGCCTACAATATACAAATCATTACTATTGCTGTTCTAAATATTTAATATATAGAAAAAGATGAAAAAACGAAACCATATAACCTCGTTAACTGCTAGAATGAATCAATGGAAAGAGACAGGTGTAGCCTCTCATTGTCAGATGTGTTTGCATACAGGGCCATCAAGATGTTTACAAACTACCCTTTAACAATCTTGGGGCGTTGTTCCGTTTATCGAATCGAAGGATGCCCTAATAATGAGAAACAACTGTTGGCCTGAAACAATTATGGCTGTACTTTAGGATTTTCTGTAGGTTGAAGATAAGACCAAACCATAAACTGCTAGAAAAAAAGCCAGTTTGCTCACTGCAAGCCAGTCTTTGACGTGTTTTAAAAAGTGCGAAGTATGATGAAAGTCAGTAGATTAGACGCGACCAAAGGTAAACCGATCCCAGATCTTTGTAGCATCGATGATATATACCCAATCAAAAATCGGGACAACTATTGCCTAATTCTAGGATTTCTCCATTATAGAGTTATGGAAATCATTGTTTCACGCTGGAATTATGAATGAATCATTGATAGACCACCATTAGAAACCTCGAAGCACTAGACGGCCGTTTCATCTTGATATGGGACTCATCGGCAGTGAGCATCCACGAACCCTGCGAGTAACAGTATGCGCTTTGCGGATGAGTCCCATGCCAAGATGAAACGGCCGTCAAGTGCTTCGGGGTTTCTGATGGTGGTCTAACAATGATTTATTCATGATTTCAATGTAATTCTAGAATATCGGAAGAATTTAACTCTTTAACCGTCCCAAATACAGACGTTGGTTCCCTAATCGGGAGCCTGGCGCCATCCGATAAGTACCGGGGCAAGTCATCTCGACTTGGTGGTCTATGATGCTTCAGAAGATGGACTTCCTTGAGGACCTCTTCGTCAGGTGGATCAGCCATCACTGATTATAATAGTGAGGAGAGTCTGGTCGATATTGTCGGTGCAGTATACGAGCCTAAATGTCTTTCGAATAACTGATAATCGTCCACAACTTCAATGGATGCAAGTAACCGGCTTCTCATCAGCTACCCAGATTTTTTAATCAATATTAGGTTTCTTCATAGCAGTGACTTAGATGGATTAAAGCGGCTCTCGGAAGTAACCAGATACAGCTGTCACTTCCAAGCACGTTAAAGCGCATCAACTATAACGTTCTTGTGCAAATTCTGCAAAATTTCCTAACCCAAGAACTCCCGTTTACCGCCGAATACGCGGTTAGCTCTGGTCAACCAACGCACCTCAAGGAGTTGTAAGAAGCATGCAGTAACCTACTGTTGGTCAGAAGACCGTTTCGCAAAGGTTTAGACGACTTTACTTGACATTTTCGTGGTTTCAAGCAAATAAAGCCAGTGTTCATCCACACTTTCCGATGGATTGACATTTAACTCTGAAACGTGCTCGGTTTGATGGTCAGTCGCAGTGTACGTTGCAGCCAAGACAGTCACCGTTATCTGACTAGAGATCAACTGGTCGTTATAGGTCACTCAAGCAACTCTGCTGAGTCAAGATGCCGTGTTGGCATATTTCAACCTACAGCTGATACTATAGCATATGTTAAACGTGCATTCTTGTGACCATTTAATTGGTGGTACAAATCATCATCGTTTACATTCGGTCGGCAATTCCTTGCCGTTTTAAGTCAAATATGTTACAAGGAAATTCATGTGAAATTAGTTTTAGGAAAATTATTAAAAACCAAGCGATTGAAAACTATTTCAGACTTACTATTATGACATAAGGCTCATGCGCTCTGTGGCTTCCCAT